GCCGACACACCGCGCGGCCCGGGAGGCAGCGCCGGACCCGGAACGCGGGACGCGGCCCCGACCCGCGCGCGGCCGCCGCCCGAGCCGCGGCACACGGACCCGCGCACAATTCCCGGAAACCCGGCTACCTGAGCGCCCGCAGCCTGGCATACACAACACGGAGCGTACATCCATGTTTACACAAGGCCAGAATCATTTACGCAGACACTTCAGGGAAGGACCCTTGCGCGCACAAGTACAGGCACGTACAGCCCACAAGCAAACAGCCACACATAGGGACAGTGGGACACGCGTGGAGTCCCAAGTCCCGTGCAAGGAATCCCAGACGGACACACACCCCCCCGCACGACTTGCCTGAGGAAAGTTCCAGGATCTGATTTGAATCACTGCCCAGCCCTCCCCCTCTGCCCCCCCCCTCACCCAACGCCTGCTGAGGGGAACAGAAGGGTCCAGCCTGTTCCTATTAAAAGAAAAAGGGGGTGGGGGTGGTGCGGATTTTGAAAGTTTTCTTTTTTTAAAGAAATTTCTCAAGGGATTTCCTTCCCTCCTCTCCTCTTCCTCTCTTCCTCCCATTCCTCTCCCCCCACAACTCTCCCCCCTTCTTTCCCCCTCCCGGTCCCTATGAGTCAAACTTCAGCAATGTGCCCAGTGTCTCCCAGTGCATTACAGCGGATCACAGAAATGTTCCAGTCTGTGAGTCGGAATGCAGCCGCCTCCAGCCCTCCCTCGGCTAATAAGCTCAGCTCGGGGCCGGTTGTGCGCAGCAGCTCTTTTTACCCCCACCCCCACCCCCGGGCCGCCCCCCCAGCCCTCTTAGCAGGAGGAGGTCAGATTCAGGGGTCAAGGGCTGAGGACCTCCCCAGTCTGCTTCCCGGCCTAGCCTATCAGCCTTGTCGCCTCTGGCAATGTTCTGGGTCAGAGACACACAGGCTCCTGGGAAGGGGAGAGGTCCACGACCTGAAACACTCGGCTCTCCTGTGGTGTGAAGCGTCACCACTGGAAGGCAGGGCTCAGCTTCCATCTGACCCCATCCTCCCTCCATCCTAGGAACCCTAAGAGTGTCAGAGTTCTACAGAAGGAGAAACTGAGGCAGAGCCATGTCAGGTGGGAAAGGAGTCCACAGTGGCCTAGAAGGGCGTGGCCACAGCAAGGTCCAACTTCTCACCACAGGCCCTCGGTTCCCCACTTGCTGCTACCTGCGATTTCTAGCAGCTGACTTCCCACTGCAGTCCCCTTCCATGTCCCAGAGCTCACTCCGCAGGCGCTGAGTGCAGTTGATAACTTATCCTCACAAAGTTCTTTCCTGGCATCCAAGCCCTCCTGCAACATGGCACCACACCACACACACCTCTCTCTTTTTCCACTGTTCTGCCCAGTGCCTCCTGGTACTTAGTGCTCAGTAATGTTAGTTGCTATGATTACTATTATTATTTCAGCCAAAGTGGGCTGCTGACTGCTTCTCATCATGTCCTCATTCTTTCCCACCCCCTTACCTGGGCTCATTGTGTTTCCTCCAGTAATGAATGTCCTTGCAGTCCCTTTCTCCTCCTGTTAAAATCTTTCCAAGCCTCAAGGCCAGCAGTTCTCAACCTGTGGGTCACAACCCCTTTGGGGGTCGAACGACCCTTTCACAGGGGTCACCTAAGACCATCGGAAAACAAAAAGATATTTACATGACGATTCATAACAGTTGCAAAATTACAGTTATAGAGTAGCAAAGAAAATAATTTTATGGTTGGGGGGTCACACAACATGAGGAACTGTATTAAGGGGTCGCGGCATTAGGAAGGTTGAGAACCGCTGCTCAAGGCTATACCACCTTCTCCAGGAGCCTTTCCCTGATTCCTGTAGCCAGAAGGATTCTTTCTTTCCGTTAAAGGAACTCACCCCATGTTGTCAGTCTTTCTCTGCACATTGACCTTCATCCACCAATTCTACTTGTCTCTACTTTCCTGCTTCCCAAGAATGTTCAAGAGTGGACATCCCTGAGCCCAGCTACTGCCTTAGTCATGGCTGCATTTCTTATAGTGTCTTGCTAAGTGCCTCGCACAGAATTCAAGCTCCCTATGGATTATTTGCTAGACACCTCCAATATACCCTTTTCCCCATGACTCCCCATGCTGACTTTGCAAGACACACGTTCTTCTACCTCAGGTGTGTTCTTCCCAGCCTTCATGTCCAAACCAGATCACCCACCTTCCAAATCCCTCCTCCATGCCACAGCATCCAGAAAAGTTGCTTGGTTCCTTCAGACCCCAGCCTCTCACCTGCTATCTCTCTCCTTTAGCCCCCCTCCCCCCAATGCCCATTCCTAATCCTCCCAGGACTCCTGGAGTTATTTTTGGAGTGAAATCAGGCCCTTGTTTGCTCATTTCTACCATGTGCATCATTCATGTATTTGTTTGTGAGCTTTCTTTTTCTTTTTGACCTAATTACTGAGTTCTGAAAGATTTGAGCAAAAAAGTTATCTCCCCCTGCCTTTCCCCATGGTACCCAGCACATGGCTTTGTTCACACACCAGGACTCCCTGTTCCCAAAGCATAGACAGAGAGACAGATAGCCTGTGAGACCTCCATCTGGGAAGCTGCACTGTGCCCCTTCCTCCCTTGCCAGCTTTTTTTTTACCACTCCTTCACCACCACCACCCTCATGGCAGAGCCTTAAGATAGTTTCTAAGTCACACGTCCCTTGCTGTGATACGTTAGAGAATCTTCAGGAACCCTAAGAGACATACGGCAGAAAAGTGCAGGTTACCTCCCTCTCCTCTACCCTGGTTACCATGGGAAGTTTTTTTTTTTAAGGCGCTTGAGTCCAAGCCTCTCACAGACTGTTCAGCTAAGCACCTAGCAGAAGACATTAGCCCCACAGGACCTGCCTGTCTCCCCAGAGTCTTCCCAGAGTTTCTGGCCAGTACAAAGCCTGAGGGCATCCTCTTCTGCTTCTCTTTGGGGTTCTGGGGCCTACTTGACCTTCTCTTTCTCTTTCTCCTTTCTTCCCTTACTTAGGTATTTTCTTGTTGAATACCATGTAGCAGCCCTATACTAACCCCTTGGCAAACATTAGGTCATTTATTCTTTTTTTTTCTTTTTTTTAAATTTTATTGGGGAACAGCCGTGGTCATTGCCTTCATGCCTCAATGGCATAGTTGACTCTTTTAGGGAGGGCGCAGCTCACTGTGGCCCATGCGGGGATCGAACTAGCAACCTTGTTGTTATCAGCACCACGCTCTAACCAACTGAGCTGACCAGTCACCCCCAGATCATTTATTCTTAACAATGATCCTTGTTATGCTCACAATTAAAGTATGGCCCATAAAGGTTAAGAAACCTGACCAAAGTTATACCACTGGTAAGTGATGGGGCCATTCATTCATTCAACAAATATTATTGGGTGCCATCTTGTGCCAGGATTCAAAGCTCCAGAAAGTGATCTCATCTAAACCTCAGAGCTCTGAGGTCACTCCTGTCCCAACTTTCTAGATGTGGTAGCCAAAGCCACAATCCCTCCCTGAGCCTATACTTTCCACATACAAAGCCAATCAGAAAGCGTTCAGTCCTCAAGGCCCGGTGAGATCTCGGAGGACAGCCATTTCATTGGGTTGAATTGGATCTTGCATTCCAGTTTCTGAGCCTGGGATCAAATGCCAATTCACAGGATTTTGGACTTGCAAATTAATAGGGGAGGTAGGTCCCCAACTTCAAATAAAGGGCTTCAATAAAGGGTTTCGCGGGCCGGCCGAGTGGCTCAGTTGGTTAAGAGCTCACTCAAGAGTTTGAGCTCTGAGCAGCAGTGGTTCGATTCCCAGCCTGAGCTGAGCAGCCGCTGAGCTGCCAAAAGGTGGCAGGATGGCTCAGCTAAAAAAAAAAAAAAAGGTTCCGTGGGACCAGATATATAATAAGTGGAAGAAAGAAGGAAGGACTGAAGGAAAGGGAAGGGGAGGAGAGGGAGAGAGGGAAGGAAGGAAGGAAGGGAGGAAGAAAGGGAGGAAAGGATGGAGGGAGAGAAGATAATTAGGATTTATTGAATATCCCCTTTGTATCATATGCTGTTCAAGGCCCTTTCACTTATATCTCATTATTATCCCCATTGTTTTAGTGAGTAAACTAAAGCTCAGAAAGACAAAATGATTTGCTCAAGGCCATAGAGCCAGTGAGTGACTTAATCCAGAGTGTGTCTGATTCAGAGCCTGTGTAATTTCTTCTACAACAGCAGTTCAAAACGATGGAGGTGCTGCTGCCAGGTCTCCTACAACAGCGTAAACCTGGTTATTTGAGGTCCCAGCTGACCTATGTGGGATATTCTAGATACCAAGTTTTCTCCCTCACTGATCCCAGCCCTGTGGTCTCATCTCTGGTTTCCACCTTTCTCTGTTGTACTGCACAGGCAGGATTAGGGGAACTAGGATTGAGGGGAGTTGTGTGGCTTTGGGGTGCAGCCAGGCAAACCTCTATCCAGAATTTCAGGATCTGAGAGAAGTGATACATCTTCCTGGGCCAGAATTGGATGGATAAATCAGGAAGAGGGTTGGGTATGGGCTATAGGTCCACATGGCTCTGGTTGGGAGGTGAGATGACCGTGGGGACTAGGGCAGGTGGAGAGAACTAAGCAAGTCCCTTCCCCCGAACCCCTACCTCCCGCCAGTGTCAACAAAGGTAATGTGGTTTCCCTTGTGGTCTGTCGCCCTAGACACCTGCAGTTCTGAGTATATGTGTATGTGTCTGTATACCAACAATGCCGTGGGGGGCACCCAAGGAGAAAGCAGTGGGACAGGATGGGGAGGGGCAGGAAGCCAGAGACAGGGTCTCCTCAATCCCAGTACAAAGAAGGCACAACGAATTCACAAGATGGCAGAGGTCACCCCCTTGATGACTCCAGGTGCCCAGCTGGGAACATAAGGAGAGAGCTCAAAGGCATTGTGGGTATCAGGGCCCTGGGCTGGGGCTGGGAGTCAGGGAACTTGAGTTCTAGGCTGGTTCTACCATTAACTTCCTGGGTCACACCTTTCTAAGTCTCAGTTTCCTGCTCTGTAAAATAGCAATAACTTGGCTACCTACCTCAAGCAGATGTTGAGTTGGTGTGTGGAGAGGGATGGACAGCAGCAACACAGCCAGTGTCCAGATGCAGGGGGAGGCCTCTGAGTAGGCAGGACAGTCAGCAGGGACCCGGGCTGGTCTGAGATCATATGAATAATATATGCAAAAGTTTGGACCACTGTGAGTTTTGGAATTATTGTCCTGATAGCCTAAAAAATATTACAGTTGCTTACTCTAGCCCTGGATACAACACCCCCACACACCCACCCCCACAGTGTGGATAAAGAACATTAAAGGCAAAAACAAAAACACAGCCTCTGCCCTCATATAGATCACAGTGTGTTGAGGAAACAAAATAAACACATAGAACACTTGAAAGCCTCTTGGGAAGCCAACTATTTAAAAAATCTCACTATTTGTGTGATCTTGGCCACGTCACAGCCTCGCTGGGCCTCAGTTTTCTCATCTGTCAAATGAGGGAGCTGGTTTCAATCATCTCTACTTCTTTTTCAAAGTCTAAAGCGGTTTTCTGGTTCTGTTATCCCAGGTATAGGTGGGTACTCAGCAGAGAGGAAAGACCTGAGCAGACCCTGGCCTGAATGAAGCAAGCGAGTGTTGAGCTGGGTTTTTCAGGAGCCCAGAAATGTGAAACAGTGTGGGGGGAGGGGGTGACATTCCAAGTAGGGAGAAAGGCACTTGCAAGGGCGAGGCAAGGAAGCAGAAAGGTGGCAAACAGATTAGCAGGCTCAGGAATGAGGTTAGTGAGGATTGAGGGAGCCTGGGGAGGAAGTCGGGCTGGAGGAGGAGAAGGGGGCAGTCCCTAGGGCTGAGGCAGCTGAGACATGAAAGTAGGGGAGGAACATGGGTGGGAAGACACTCTGTCAGTCCCAGAGGTTGGTGCCAAAGCCCATCCAGCCGAACTCCACCCAGGAGAGAGGGAAAGAAAGGGTCCCTTGCCAAGAGGTCCCACCCACCAGGGAAGGCCCATTCCTCCCGTTTCTTCTCTCCCAGTCGACCCCCAATCTGGAGGTAAGCGAGGGCCCCCTGAAACCAGAGCCTCATTAATGATGGAAACAAACAAATGGGAGTACTGCCATCTCCCTTCATAACAATAATGCCAGCGGCAAAATAATAATAATAATAATAATAATAATAATAGTGATGAGGAGGATGAAATAAACTGCCCCTCACTTGCCCTCTGATGAAACCTCACAGCACCAAAACATCTTGATATGGCCATTCCATGTGCTAGCATCTTTGCTCCCAAGAGCTGCAAGTGATTTATAAGATTATCTAGTCTCTAGGATCCCCCAAAGCCGACATTATATCAAAATCCCTTTGAAGAACCTGTGAGAACAGATTCCTGGGCCCCCTCGCAGAACTGATCAGATTCTTTCGGGTTGGGGGTACCCAGTAACCTGCAGCTCCCACCATTCTAAAGTGTGGTTAGGTTTGGGACACTCTGACCTAATCCAAACCACTCCTTTTACAGATGAAGAAACTGAGGACCCAAGGGGGAAATAACTTGCCAGAGATGACATGGTTAACAAGTGATGGGGAGCAGGCAAAAAATCCAGGCGCCCCAGCTTCTAGGTCAGCGTTCCTTCTACAGCCCGCGCTGCCCAGCCCCAGAGATGCCTGTGCCAGCAGAGATTATGGTCAGGGAGGCAGCCACTGGGCCATACTCTAATCGTGAGTAAGAAGAAATTCGTCCAAGTTGCAAAACGTTTTTCTGCAGCCAGTTCTAATGGATGCCTGCAGGGATGCGGTGGTCCATCCACTGGTGGGCCTGGGGCTTTGGCCTTGCTACATGCCCCCAGCAGGACCCTCCGTAGCCTCGGTGGCTATATTGGCTGGAGGGCAGGGTTCCACCTTGTTACAAATCTCAATGGTTTCTCTTTGGGGGAATTTACCTCCAGCCTGGAATCTCCAGGTAAAACGTTGAGGAGGTCCTGCCCTAAGGAAACCCACCTCTCTTCCCCAGGAGTGTCTTTTAGGGTGGGTTTGGACTATGCCCCTGCATGTCAGGGGTGTGGAGGCAGGAAAGGAGCAATGAGCCGAGGTGAGGGTGCAGTGGGGTGAGGGTGGTTACACAGGGGGGTGAGTGGTAGTGTCCTTACTAAGACCTTCAAGTACCCCACCCACATATGATCACCACTGCACTCTGTTTCATGGAGTATAATTTCTTATTTATTGAGTATCTACTCTGTGCCAGGTTCTTGGGCACAGAGGCAAAAGAAGCCACAGTTCTTATCATGGAGAAATTCATCTCCTGGAGAGCAGGATACAGCCGAAGAAAATAGCCTGGAGTGGAGAGAACTGTCAGACTAGGGGCTCCAACAATCCGAGCTGCAAAGGAGACGCTGGGTTCACAGTCACAGAAGTTCCATGTTGGAAGGGACTTAACGGATCACCCGGTCCTTGTAGGCTGGGGCAGTGGTCCTGCTCTGACCTGCCCCCTCTGTGCCTGGAATGGTGATTCTATCACTCCAGTTTGGCCTGAGCGGCTAGGGCTAGGAGGGCATCGGAGGCAGAGACACCACCACTCTCCCTTTGGGCAGACCCTGAGGATGGGCTCCACACTTCCCTATCCTGAGCTTTTAAGGAACCGTTTAAAAACCTGTAGAGGAATGGCTAAAGGGAGGCGGCATTGTATTGTAGTTCAAAGCGAGAATTTGGAGTCAGGGCTGCTCTGGTTTGTCGCTTAACCACTGCGTGATCTCCAGCATGTTAGTTGACGTCTCAGAGGCTGGGTTCCCTCATCTGCAAACTGGGGTATGCAGTGCCTGCCATATTAGGGTTGTTGTGAGAACTCCTGAGATCAGGACGTGAAGTGCTCAGCACGGAGCCTGACGCACATTGGGCCCTGTTAGGGCTAGAGCATGATGCTGACATTAGTAATAAAAGACAGTGTCCTGTCTCTTCAGTCCCTCTGAGCCACAGGCGTCCCCTACAAATTCAGTCTCAGTGATAGACCTAATTTATACAAACGGGTCTCTAGCCCAAGCTGACTCCTCTGGGGTGTGCAGGGTGGTTTGGCTGGGCTATGGGAATGGGACGCTATCAGGAACCTTCCTCACCTCCCAAGGTGCTCTGGTGTTGTCTGAGTTGCCTCAGAGTTGAGAGGAGCCTGGATGTGGCTGGCTGCAGGGAATGCCCAAACCGACTGCAGAAAGGGCCTCGCCTCCTCTCCCCAATCTTGGCAATGCACATCTGGAGTGATCTGCACATCTGGCTGCATCCCTGGGGCAATGGCCACAGCTGCTGACATTTGAGGGAGGAGAGATCTAGCTCCTCAGCCAGAGCCTGGGGGGCTATAAATAACTGGCTAAGAGGACCTAGGGGAGGAGGTTGACCTTTGAGGGGGGGGGGTGCAGGAGCGGCTGGTGACTTCCCCCACCCCCTTGGGTCCAGAGCCAGGGTTTTAGCAAAACAGGAAGAGGCAGCAGCAGCTGCTGGGAAAGGAGGAGTGGCTCCCCTTCCCCCTCTTGCCTGGGGCCTTCGGATCCCAGCCAGGACCTGGGAGAGGTGGAGTCATCCAGGCGGGAGAGGGCGGGGCAGACCCAGGCAGGCTGTGGCCCCACCGGTGCCCTCCTATGGCTCTGCTGGGGCACTGGCAAGGGAGAGAGAGGTAGAGAAGGGCAGCCCTGCGGTCTGTGCCCGCCCTCCTGGCTCCCTCTGTTCCCTTTCTGTTCCCCTATCAGTGGGACAACAGGAAGAACAGGCATTAGAAATGGAGCGTAAAATATACCTGCTGACCCAGCCAATGTACCTAGAGGCCCAGGATGGCAGTCAAGCCTGCCTTCCTTCCTCATCCCCTCCCGGATCACAGGTGGGCTGAGCCTGAGCCCAGGTGTGTGGGAAAAAGGATACTAGACAGGAGGAAGGACGCCTCTGGGCTTCTGGATAAGGACCCAGGGCCTGGCCCCACTGAACGATGGAGAACTTGTCCATGAACTACGGCAGTGAGGAGATCCAAAGCTCTGGGGTGACTCTGGGTGACTGTTTTTCTGGAGTAACGGGGCATCCATGGGGTCAGACTCTGGAGAGCCAAGCCCCAGCTCATCAGGCCTCGTGAAGTCCAGGGTTAAAGGAGCACCCCAGGAAGCGTTGCCTTGCCTGGGCCAAGGGGCCACTGAGCATCTGTCCTGCAGTGTCTGACTGGTTGGTGACATCTCCAGAGGGGCCTGTATCTGTATCTGTCATAACCCATTATTTGCCTCTCAGCTGGGAGCCCTGTGTTTTGCCTGCAGAGATGGTTTAAACCAGCGCAGTTCAATAGAAACAGAATATGGGCCACATATGTAACTGCATTTTCTTTTTTAAAAAAGTAAAAATAGATAATGAAGTTCATTTTAATAGTATATTTATTGAACCTAATACATGCAAAATATTATCATTTCATCATATAATAATTTAAAAAAAGACCAATATTTTACGTCCTTTTCTTCATACTAGATCTTTGAAATCCAGTTTGGATTTTACACTTGTAGCACATTTCAACTCTGACTAGCCATATTTCACGTGATCAGTAGCACACGTGGCTAGCGGATACTGTAGTGAGAAGCACAGGCTTAGACGACTTGTAGCGTAACTTCTTCAGCCCTTCCAGTCCCTTGCTGGGGAAGAGGCTCAGAAGGGGAGGAGGAGGCCAGTGAGGTCAATGTTAAGCGTTACTTTGCTCTAGGAGGATGGCCACCTACTTTGGCTTTCAAGCATCTATCTCTAGACCTGGAACCAGTCCTGGTATACAGGCAAGCAGGGAAACTGAGTCACAGAGCATCACCTTAGACAACTGGTCTTCTCCTCTTCCTCTAAGTCGAAGGTTGGTAGAACCTCATTTCTTTTTCAGGAGTGCTGCCTGTACCCTCCTCCTTCCCCTTCCAAACACAGCCCCAAACCCAAAGGTACTGGGGCAGCAGAGCTAGGGAATATGGGAGAAGAAGCAAATTTGGAGGGAAATACAGGGTCAAGCTGTGAACATGTGGAGGTGAAGTGCTAGTGGAACAATCGGGAGGAGGGGTTGTGTGGACAGTTCTCTGGAGCTTTCACTAGGAGGACCAAGACAAATAAAGATCTGAGATCATCTGGGGATGACCGGTTAGCTCAGTTGGTTAGAGCGTGGTGCTGATAACACCAAGGTTGCCAGTTCGATCCCCGCATGAGCCACTGTGAGCTGCACCCTCCTTAAAAAGAGTCAACTATGCCATTGTAGCATGAAAGCAATGTGTAACCAATGACCATGGCTGTTCCCCAATAAAAAAATTAAAAAAAAAAAAAAGACCTGGGATCATCAGTAAGAGCTGGAGTCGTAGGTAGGAGTGGGTGAGACCAACAGACCAGGGAAGAAGAGAAGAGAGGAGAGAAATAAAGAGAACCCAGAAGCAGGTTAAATGCAGACACTTGAGACAAGAAAGATTTGGGTGGACAGAGGGGTGGCAGCCCACGAAGGAGGCTGAGAGGGAGCAGTCAGAGATTTCAGTGAAGTTAAGAGGTAGTGCCATGTCTGAATCCAAAGTGGGAAAGAGTGTCAAGAAGGAAAGATTTGTGCTCAATGGCAATCGACGATGCTTTAAAATAATTTGTATAGAGAGAGCGCACGCAAATTGATAAAACACACAAAAACAGTGGTAGACTAAAAATCAAAGCACAAATATGGCTCTTCAGGGAAAGCTGGTAAGCAAAGGTAGGGAAATGTTCAAAGTAATGCCAATCAAAACAAGGTAAAGGTAGACGCCACTTTCAAACATTAGTGAGAGTGTGGTGAAATGCACATGTTGTTGGTGTAAGCTCTTTTGAAATCGATTTGGCAATATATGGTAAGAGCTATAAAATGTTTTTACCCTTTGGCTCCATAACCCCACCCAATATACCCTAAATGAGGTTTCTACAGCCAAAATTTAGGGAGAGGGGAGTGCAACATCACGATGTCCACCACCACATTATTTGTAATATGGAATAATACAAATTGTAGAAACAATTTGAACACCGACAATGGAAAATTGTAAAGTAAATTATATTTCCACTTAATAGAAAATGATGAAGCTGTGAAAAAGATGTATATGGATGCAACATAGCATCACAGAAGAATATAGATGAGTGCATGCCCTGTGACGGCAACTGTATTTTTAAAACAAAACAAAACAACATAAGCATAGAGAAAAAGATCCAGGAAATTCGTGCAATAGGTAATGATTATGTAAGGTGGTATGAGTATACACATTTTTCTAGTTATTTAATAATTGTCAACATTGTAAAGAGCTGTGGAGAGTGGGTATGAGGGCTTACCAGAAGTCTCGAGTGGGCTACAAGGAGAACCCTGACAATTTCATGGAGGTTGTGAATTCATTCATATAGCAGGTATAGGTCTTTACTGGGCTCCATCCATGTACCAGGCACTGTCACTGGGGTATTATTAGCTCAGCCCTGTCCTGATGGAAAAAATCCAGATTTTCTTTCTGGGTTCCAGGGGTGTCCTGTCCCCTGGAAACTCCTGGAGTTCCACTGGCTCCTATGCCACTGCTGGGGGCAAGACCTTATCTTGGGCCTGGAGAGACAGCCCCCAGGGAGGATCCAGGGAGGTCAAGAGCAAGGGAAAGTGTGTGGGTAGCAGTGGCCTTAGTGAGGTTAGAGGAAGGTTGAGGGGATCACCAAGGAGCTTAGGGGATGTGAGGGCTGCTCTGCCCTGGGGGAGGGGTTCACAGGCTGTGGTCAGCCACCTGCCATTTCACATCACCCCGAGGGCAGGGCGACATGAGATGTAAGTGGGCCATCACCTCCACCGCCCCCCACAGGAACTCTACCTGGGCCCCCACCTACAGGCACCATCCGGCCTAGGCAGCCTCCTGCTCCCCCCCCCCCCCCACAACTCTCTTCCTACAATGACACACTAAGGCCTTGAAATAACACATCTTTATTTACGCCATCATTTCCACATAATTTGCCTATGATTCATTTGTTGTCAAGAGGCATTAAAACCTCCAGCCCCAGCTCCCAGGCACCCACCTGGCCCTGCCCCCTCCCTCCTGTGTCCCACCACGCCCCTTCCCATTGTGTCTTGCCCAGCTCTTACCCTCATCTCTGCTTCCTGAACCCAGCAGGCCCCCGTCTCAACATCCCTTCCTCCACTAGCACCCCCACCTCCAGCTCCTCCCTGCTTGGCCTGTGTTGAGGAGTGGGAGGCAGGCACTGGGGCTGTGAATGGCCCAGATCACATCCACCTGCTTCGTCACCCAGACTCTGGCCTGAGGAAGGCCTCTGGCCCTAGGACTCGGGATGACTTCCCATAAGCAGAAAGCCCCGGAAAAGGGAAGAAGCCTCATTTTGCCTAGAAGCAGGAAGCTGTGGAACCTCCAGCCTCAGAGGCAGCCCCTTTCTGCGAAC